TTTTTTTCAGCTTTAATTGAGTTTATTGGTACATTTTAGGGATACAGGACAGTTACATTCATTGTTGGGATCTTGTACCTCTACATGACAAGTCTTGATTCTCATTTTTTCCCCTGACCCCTGCCCTCCCTTCACCCCCTCCTCCCCACCCCATCTACAAACACTTTATTTTCATCTTTTCATTATCTCACATTTTTTTCTTTTCCCTTTTTGTTCTTCCCCTACGCATCACACCTTCCCTACACCTTTAGCTCCTTTCTTCAAATTTCTAAATGTCAGTAATCTTACTAGGATCTTATGTATTATTGCAGATTATTCACACCAGAGAAACTATTTGGTATTTACACGTGTGACTTATTTATTTCACTTAGGAGTATATCTTCAATATGTATCCATTTTCCTATGAATTGATCTATTTTCTTGTTCTTTATGGCTGAGTAATATTCCATTTTATAGAAAAACCACATCTTCTTTATACAGTTTCCAACGGATGGGCACATGGGCTGTTTCCAAGATTTAGCTATGACAAACTGTGCCACTATAAACATGGGTGCGCATACTTCTCTGTGATATGATTCTTTTAGTTCTTTTGGAAAGATACCCAGCAGAGGGATGGCTGGGTCAAATCTCTTTGAGGTATCTCTGTATTGATTTCCTTAGTGGGTGCACCAGTCTACAATCCCACCAACAATGGAGAAGGGTTCCTTTCTCCCCACAACCCCGCGAACGTTTCCCCTTTTTGTTTTCTATGAGGTGGTCTAGAACATAGTGTGCACTGAGACACAGCTGGGTATTCATTACACATCTATAAGAATTAGTTCCAGCTGCCTTGTAAAAAGCTTAAACTCTGATCTGTATACCTCCTCTACTTGAGGGCCAATTCCTTACCATTTACCACCCTCTTTTAATGAACATTTGTGTCTCCGTTCCATGCCATGTGTTGTGAGAGAGCTGAGGGATCACACCTGCAATGATCTGGTTATGGTTTGAGGATGTCCCCAGAGGTTCATGTGTTGAGAGCTTGGTCCCCAGTGTGGTGATGTTGAGGTAGTAGAAGAGGTAGGGATGTATGAGGGCCAATTCCTTACCATTTACCACCCTCTTTTAATGAACATTTGTGTCTCCGTTCCATGCCATGTGTTGTGAGAGAGCTGAGGGATCACACCTGCAATGATCTGGTTATGGTTTGAGGATGTCCCCAGAGGTTCATGTGTTGAGAGCTTGGTCCCCAGTGTGGTGATGTTGAGGTAGTAGAAGAGGTAGGGATGTAGGATATATA